GTAAGTTTGATAGCCTGGAACATCGAAGAAAGGTTGGAGATTTATTTCTTTTCTATAGATACTTTCATTGGACGTGTTCAAGTGACTTGGCACATTTGATTCCACCAACACGGTACATATCAAAAATACGCGACGGACTGTGTCTGCTCATTGTTCTGAGGTTCAACTCAGTACACTTCGAACTTCACTGTTCCAGAACTCTCTCGTCTGGAGAACTGCGTTTATGTGGAATAAACTTCATGAGAACGTTTTTCCAATTTTTCAAATTCAATGTAAATCACTACTTTCACACAGGCACCTCTCTGAGAGTGCTGTAGTGCTTGTGTTTTGTTCTTAAAAAAAAAGAACTGGAAAATCTTTTCAAATGTCAATACGCTCATAAGAAGTAAGTTAAGTAGATTATGCATCGTTAATTTGGTCTCCATTATATCAAAATTCCGTTCAGCGATTAGAATCTGTTCCAGCTAGTGTCACAGACCAGAATATTTCATTAGATACATTCAACTTAGAAGCCTCAGGAGATAGAAGATAACGCACCGAGATCAAGTATGTTTCCAGTTAAACTCTTGAATAACGAAATTTATTGTAGTGACTTGTTAAGACAAATTCAGTTTATTGTATCTAGATCACAATCCAGGCATATGGTTACTTTCTACAATAGGGATCCTAGGACAAATTTATTGAAGAAGTCGTCGATATTTGTAATGTGTGAGTTGTTCAATAAAGTTTCCGACCTGTGCAATATACATCATAACAGCAAACAGTTTATGTTAAGACCTATTGAAAATTCGATGTCATGATTGTTTTTCATTTTCTTTTTGTAATCTGATTTTTTTTATACACACTCTTCACTTATTTGTATTTTCCTAATTTGTGTATGTGAACCTGTTGAAAATTAATATGTTATTATTATTATGAGTATTACAATAACAAAAAATTGTCTCCACAAAAACGACATACCTTAAAAGTCAAAAATTATAAATAGAGTCCTACTTTCCATCGTGCATTTCCTAACACGGGTTGGGACCCATAGTGGTGAATTGAATGGAAAGAACGAACCACCAACGGTTAACCACGAATAAAATTATAGATCAACATTAATTTTGTTTCGTTAAGAAATATACTTATTAACTTACATTTTTATTTTTTCGGAACTATTTTGTTGATTGTCTTGTAACTAAAATTTGAAACACACTATAGTTTTTGGAGGGGCCTCTTTCGAATGCGAAATATATTCATGCAAAATACACGTTTTTATTACTTTTCCCATAAAATGCATCATCCTATTTAGCGTTGTCAATGACAGTCAAGCATTAATTCGATCCTGGTCTTAATATACATTGCGAAAAATCGCTTCCAATGGTTATTATAGTTTTTCTCTATCTAACATGCATGAAACACAATTTCATGAAATGTGTTATTATGAAAGTGAGCATAGTTGGAAATTGATTCGTACTACATTTAAATATTCGTGGAATGAATATTATGGCATACTTTCATGAGAACCCATGAACTCAGTTTTCATAGATATTTCCGATTTGGAAATTTCATAATCGATACAACAGAATTGTGTAGAAAAATAAAAGAGGAGATATCAAGTATGACATATGAGATTTCGAATATGAGGGAAATTTGAAGCTTTATAACTTCTATTTATTATATGCGAGCGCTTTCTACAGCTGGTCGTGCTATCATCTTTAAGGCTCTTCTCAAACTGGACGTTTCATCCTCTTGTTTGTTCTTTTATGCGGTCAGAACGCCTTAGTGCAGGTACTGTAGGTGAAGTTGCCTGTATTTGAGTTACATCAGGTAATATCCTTTGTGTTGGATTTTCTCTAGGTTTACTGTTTCTAGAAGTGTGTATTGTTTTGTGTAGTATATTGAATGTTAGGTCTTGTTGTGTTTTGATTTGTATTTGTTCCTCGATGAGGGAATTTGACTGTTAAATTCATGGATTTTTGAGTTTTCCCAGATGTCCATGCGGTTTCTTTTATTGACTTGTTTTATGAGTTTTATGTTTTCTGCTGGGGGAAAGTTATGTTTGTTCTGTATGGCGTGTGTTGCGAAGTTTGATTTATATATTATTAGGTTTATGCAATAGTATAGTTTTTTGTCCTCGTCGTACCTTTGGATCAGTTTTTCCTTGGTTTGGTCGATATAGAATTTGTTGCAGTCCTAGAATTGCATGCTGTTCACCCCGTTTAGGTTTTTGACTTCTTCTGTTTATATTTTGTGTTATTTTTGTGTTTGGCTTGTATGTGATGTTGATGTTCTGGGGTTTGAAGATGTTTGTTAGTTTTTTGGCTTGGTGACCTACCTATGTGAACGCTGTGCATCGTTGTGTTGTTTTATCTGTTGGAGTGGTTTGATTCTTGCTCTGCATTTTTTCTTTGATTATATTTTCTAATTTATCCATTGTCTTTTGGTATATCCGTTCTCGTTCGCTATTTGGTATATGATTTTCCTTTCCTTGTTCCGGACTTCATTGCTTAGTGATATCCTTAACATTCTGTATATGAATGCGTTATAGGCAGCCATCTTGTGTGATGTTGAGTGGTTTGAACTTGCGGGTATGGTGGAGCTTGTTTGTGTAGGTTTCCTGTATATTGCCATTTGAAATTGTGTTTTTTTTTGTGGTTATATCCGAACTTATGTCCAGGTAGTTGAGTTTCAAGTTGTTTTCTTCTTCTATGCTGAAAATCAGTTTTTGATTTATTTTGTTAATTTCCTTTGTTATTTGATTCATTCTTATTCCATTGTTTTGTAGAAAATCATATACCACATAGTGAACGAGAACGGATACACACAAAAGACAATAGACAAATCAGAAAATAGAATGAAACAAAAAATACAGAACAAGGATCAAACTACTCCAACAGATAAAACAACACAACGATGGACAGCATTCACATACGTAAGTCACCAAACGAAAAAACTAACAAACATCTTCAAACCCCTGAACATCAACATCACATAAAAGCCAAACACGAAAATAACACAAGAAATAAACAGCTATGGAAAAGAAGAATAAAAAACCTAAACGGGATGTACAGCATGCAGTGCTCGAACTGCAACAAATTCTTTATCGGCCAAACCAAGGAAAAACTGATCAAAAGGTACGACGAGCACAAAAATGCATACATAAACCCAATAATATATAAATCAAACCTCGCAACACACGCCATACAAAACAAACATAAATTTCCGCTACCAGAGAACATAAAACTCATAAAACAAGTCAATAATGGAAATCGTAAGGACATCTGGGAAAACTCAAAAATCCATAAATTTAACAATCAAATTCCCTTATCGAGAAACAAATACAAATCAAAACACAACAAGACCTAACATTCAATATACAACACAAAACAATACACACTCCTAGAAACAGTAAACATAGATGAAATTCAACACAAAGGATATTATCTGATGTAACCCAAATACAGGCAAACTTACCTGTAGTGCCCGCACTAAGGCGTTCTAACCGCATAAAAGAACAAACAAGAGGATGAAACGTTCAGTTTGAGTAGAGCCGAGAAGATGATAGCACAGCTAGCTATCGGAAGCACTCGCATATAATAAATAGAAGTTATAGAGCTTCAAATCCTTTTTAGACATTTTTCTGAAAACCATGAACTAGGAAGCAACAAACTCGTAGAAAAAATTGAATACCAACAAGCGCAACCACTGATTCTGCGTAGAACGTCATTGTGAATACGAATTCAAAGCATTAACAACATAAAAACATCTTTTTGATAATAAAATGATCGCTGTCAGGAAACTGAGCAACTGAACAACTGAGCAACAAATATAAGTAAAGGATCAAGCATGGATCTTGAAGGGCATACTTGTTTACGGGTAGAATCTTCGATTTCGATTTGTTAGCTTATTTTCAACCAGAGACAATGCATTTACAGACAAATTGTAAGAATCTGAGTTTTATAGCACTGAATATAAAAGTTGAGAGTATCGAAGCCTCCACTTCAGTGAATCCTTCGATACTCTACGAATAACGGAAATTTGTCTGTAATATAAATATAGGTTTGCAGTGTGCAGACATGCATGAAAAATAAACTGAATTGAAAAAAGGTTATTTCGATTGCGAACTCATTTTATTAATAGCTTTGAAGTGATTGACAGTGAAATCATGTGTAAATCCTTACATTCTCAAATTAGCTAATAATTTCAACACTGATTGATTTAGACTGGCCCTCACCCCCAGCACTTTATCGCTGAAATGTTTTAGACTGCATAATTGACTAATAGGTAGAAAGTTTAATATAGACAATATTTTTATGTAAATAATTGTAATTCACTTCATTTATCCAAGTAATTAAGCTGAAATAGCCTGTTTGGATAATAAATAAATAAATAAATGCTATAGTATCCATTTATGAAACTACAAATTTGTTGTTCATGATCATTTCGACTACTTGCAAGAGAAAAAGTAGGAATAATCATGAACTTCAAATCAGCCAAATTCGATGGGAAATTACAGTAGCTAAAGGAATAATAAAATCGTGTTACCCACATTTTGGAAATACGTTTTGAGTTGAAACTTCATTAAAGAGGAAGGTCCAAGGTTTATGTTGGAGAAGGCGTGAGATATTTGCCGAGACTGTATTACTTTTAGGACGATTGAATCAACTTCCTATCTAACCATTTAACAACTATCTACCTGTATAATAACCATATTGTTCTGCTCACCTCGATAAAAATTAATGAAAGAGCAGTAAAATTGAACAGTATACCCTCCAATTAACAGAGCCTGAGTGTTAGTTGACGCGTTTTCATATTAAATGTTTGAGAGTTTCAAAACGGAACAAAAACGGAAAGGACACGAAACGCAAATTGATCCTGCAAAGAAACTCGAATTGAATCATCAATTAACGTTGTGGCAACCCTGACAGCGTCTGGTCTTAACAATATTTATCAGCGACAGTATATGTAAATTGTAGTTATATCTAGCTAAGGAGTAAGATTTATTGTATAGGATTTACCTTGTAACTGCCCAAGTGATTAACAACGCATGTGAAATAGACATCCCGTCCCTGAGTGACTGTGTGATTCTCCAAAGGGGCCAAGAACTCCGGGGGCTCGGGCGCGATTATTTGACCTGTAACAAAACGAAAGATACCAACTTGCATATACTTGCCAACTAGATAAGTGAAGTGAAGATATTCACGGCTATAATCTGCCGAAAGCGGGGCGACGTATTCGGTATATAAATTTATAGTCGCAGCGCTGCATAAGAATTTAAATACTTCGAAATGTCACATTCATCTGAAGATAGTGATTCCCATCGGAAAGACACGAATTAGATATTTAATAAGTCGTATTCGAGAATATTCAAAATGGATGACTTCCTTAAATCGTTGCACAAAATTCTTAGTGGTAGGACTATTGTACATTCAAATAGAGGTTCCAAAATGAGTGAGTTTATTCACTCATAAATTAACACACTTTGGAACATGCTTTTCATTTTCTTGATTTCTGGAGAATGAAAAGCGTGTTAATCCATGAAAATGGTCTAATAAACCGATACCGGTCGTGACAAATAATAAACTGAGTAGAAATTAGGCAAAAGTTATTTGCATTATTCTATACGGGTGTTTCAAATTCGATCCTCACCATTGGAATCTCAGAAACTATGAGAGATACAAAGATCATTTTGAAGCAAACTTGCGCATTCACCTGACTAACAATATGCTATTAAGAAAGTTCTGAAATTCCGAGTATATCCGGAAATATCCGGAAAAAAACAGAAATTTTGGAAAATGGTTTTTATTTTTTCCTGACTTTATTTTTCGAAGGATTCGATAATAAATTGCATTTCCGACCACCATCATAAACTTTATTTTTTCTTATGTGCGCTACCTTGGATTCTTTTTGTTTTGAATAGAACCAGATTTTACCTTTTCATTGATGTTTCATAAGTTATCATTCTTTTTTGAACGAAAATTGAAGATATTGAAAAAAAATGATTCTTATCATAATAGGCTTTGACTTTGATGTTTCTGAATTTGACTTTCAATTCGTTACAATCAATGACATATTGTTATTGTACCAGTCATTTAATTTTTGGCGAAAAATGGCTGTCATGAATGAAGAAAAGGAGATTTGATTTAAATTTATTACAAATACGATAGAAACAGTGTTAGGACATCGTAAATGCATTTAAACTTGTATCCCGAAAGACGACAACCACATCGAACTATGTTCAAGTTATTGGATCAAAATCTCACCGAGGTTGGTTCATTTGAAGATTCGAGAAAAAAATACGGACACAGAATGGACCAGGAAAATAAAAAAATTGATGAATGGAGTATGTATGACGTAAGTTAGACAATGTGTCCTGACAATAAAAATCAATAATTTGCATATAAACATGAACCCGTGGAAATCTACACGTCAAATTTCCTCCGTAATGAATATTTGTCATACAAGTGCTTGAAGACATTTTAAAAAAAGCGGTTTGAAATGTTACAACACACACATATCTCAAAAATTGCATCCATGTGATCCCGAAATGCGATTAGAATTTTGAAATTGGCTAATAAGAAGATCTGATTTAGTATTAACGTATGGGCAGGAATTTACAAAGATATAATTTTGGGTCCTCGTTTATTTGACAGAATTCTGAATGGAGAAACCTATCACCAGTTTTTGATGTCGATTTTCGAATACACTTTGGATGATCTTCCTTTGGCTAACTATAACAACATCTGATTTCAAGATGTTTGTGCTCCACCGCACACTACCAGACGATTGTCTTATTACTCAACTGAAAGGTTTGGTGATGAATAGATGGGGAATAATGGACCGGTGAGGTGGCCTGCAAGGTCTCCAGACTTATGTGTTATGGATACATTCTTACGGGATACACTGAAGAATAGAGTTTATGGCAAGAGGGAATATCAAAATATTGAGAACCTTTAACACAGCATTGTTAGAGTGTTCGGAAGATTGGGGAGGCGGGAAATTGATCGTGCAGTGAATAATATTCGAAGAAGGGCACAGTTGTGTTATCATGAACAACGCCAGCATTTCGGGCATTTGCTGTGATTTACTTTTGCCTTTACATTCAAATCTAATTATTGTTATTCGTTCAAAGTTCTATTATCACTGAAAAGGACGAATGTCTAATTCACCTCATACACACCTCATTTATCAAAACTTGTTTGTTGATTCTGTCTCCGTATTTTTCTATTGGCTTTTCAAGCGAACCAAACTCGGTGAGATTTTGATCCAATAACTTGAACATAGTTCGATGTGGTTATCCTAACACTGTTTCTATCGTATTTGTAATAAATTTGTATTATATCTCTCTTTTCTTTATTCGTGACAGCCATTTTTCGACAAAAATTCAATGACTCGTACAATAACAATATGTCAATGAGTGTAACAAATTGAAAGTCAAATTTAGAAACATCATAGGCAAAGCCTATTATGATAAGAATCAATTTTTTTCAATATCTCCAATTTTTCAAAAAAGAATGATAACTTATGATACATCATTGAAAAGGCTATATTCAAAACAAAAAGAATACAATGTAGCGCCCAAATGAAAAAATAAAGTTGATGATGGTGACCGGAAGATAAAACATCGGATATCAAATCGGAAAACACCATTATGTAGCAGGGAAAAAGTGGCAATGTGGAAGTTCAATTTATTTTCGAATCCTTCGAAAAATAAAGTCAGAAAAAAATAAAAACCAAAGAAAGTTGAAAGTCGTTTGAGAAACCCATTTTTATTTTTGGAATTTTTTCGAATGATATAATGCAAAACTGAATGTTTTTTATCACAATTAGGTTGGTTTTGGTTTAATTTAGTTTACTTAGCGGACAAATGCAATTTCTCAAAAGATTGTTTCAACTTTGTTTAATGCATATTTGGTTTCCAATGTGGCCTTGAAATAACGTTACTACTAATAATTTTCATCATCTAATATATATTTAAATTCTGAATGTATAGAACATTATGAACGTCTGTTCTATATCTGATTTTTTTCGATTTTATCTATCACTTTACGTAGTAGCATTAGATGATAAAGTTCATTATCAACCATTTCGTAGCAATCGAGGTGTAATTGCTACGGAATGACTGATTAATCTTATACAGGAATGTTTGCAGTTTTTATATTCTGAATGCGTCTATCCCTGTCAAACGAAGCCCATAACTTAATCGCAGTGAGTGGCTTAAGATAGTACCAAGGAGTTGCATAAAAGAGCTTTGAGTGGCCTACTCATGATACGTCTATGACCATATAAAATTTTGAGTTTTGTGTAAGATTTCTGAAGTAAAAAACATAGGTACATGATGGGCGATTTTTAACCTATTATCAATATAAACACCGATATTTTTTGCTTTTTCAGTTAGTTGATTTCCTGAATGCTGAATCAACAGGCCCAAATAATATATTGTATGCACTTCGTCTTGGGATGTCGATCATATATGCATTTTTTATAAATCATTTTTGTAATAATCTCATCATTTCGAACTATTCGGATCTATATGCAAAGATCTCATGAAAACCATCACACTGCTATTTTGCAAAAACAATGTTCACTGGTAAAGATTTATCGGAACTCAAACGAATTTAAAGTACACCAAATAAATCCAGAAACTCAATGAAGTTGCTGAGTTTGTTCGGTGGATGAACTTTCAGGTTAGATGACGAAAGTGAAACTCTAGCAAATACTGAAGAATGGATTCGGTCTACGTCTGGGCAGATACAGAGTATGAGCTCTACTCTTTCATCTTTTAAAAAACCGATAGTCCAAGTTTCGTCATATGATGATTCAGACGACAGTGATCTCTAAGTAGAACTGTTAGATAACATAGGTCACCCCAGCTGTAGTCTAACAATCATTTCGTGACATTCTTCGATGAACGTAAAAATAACCTGAAATGGACAAATCTCGGTTAATTTTGACTGAAGTCTGAAACTATTTTTGCAGTCCAGGTATTATTGATTGACACCTTCAATACAGCCCTCTCCTGTAAGGGAGTCGGTGGTTTCATCACTTTTCAGAAAAGTGTGGCTTCCAGACCAGAAGGTCTGGATTCTTTCTGAGGAAGGGGCCTATCAGAAATCTGGTGGAGCTTGAAGGTATCTGATCCCTTCGGCATAAACTGAGAATATTGTCCAATGTTATTTGAAGGAAATTACAGACCACCTTTTTTATTCAGACGATTTTACCGTAGCTATCCATCAGAACTCATTACAGAATGGGGATATTACTCCATCTTAGAAGCGAACCCTAGTGATATTGAACGTAATGACCTAATATATGTTGGAGCATGGCGTAGATACAGACAGTTATGGCCGATTCAATGCTTTTTATAGCTGATTCTTATTTAAAAGATTTAAGTATTACATTGCCGAATTTCCCTTGAAATCTAGAAATATGGCGATCATCGATTTTTCGATTTGATAAGTTTACTGGGAGGTCAGGGGGATATATATTCCGCCTCCCGGAATGTCTGTCTAGTCTCCACTCGAGTCCGCTCAGTAGGGATGATGTTTAACTAATTCGGTGATTTGGAGTGTGCCCTGTCGCCAGCCAATTGTATTATTTGTACTACATGGCCTAACACATAGATGGTGCTAGTCTTATTGCATTCACCGCTTTTTCAGTTAGTATCAACCTTCAAAAGAAAGCTGTTGAAATATCATGATATTCTACTCATTAGTTATCGTGCTAATAGTGACACTCCTTTCGGTATTTTCAAAACAATTTCGTGTTTTTATTTTACACCGCTCCTTGATGAGAAAAAATGCCGTTCAAGCAAAGCAATGGCTTGTGGCAGTGTTGAAAGGACTCCGCTCTATCAGATACAATAATCAAACGTTGGTTTGCTGACTTCAAAAATGGTCGTGAAGACACGGATGGTACAGAACGCAGTGGTCGTCCAAATGAGGCAGAAAATATAAAAAAATTCAACGAAATATTTTGAACGATCAAAAAGTGAAGTTACGCGAGTTAGCTCAACCTCACTCACAAGTCAATAAAAATATTCTCGGACAGTCAAGCGGCATTTGAAGCTCTTGGCTCCCACCGAACAACGTCTGAATTGGTAGCAAACTGCCAAAAAAGACTCTCCTCGATAGG